TTAGCTGACAGTCAACAGTAGGATTACTTTGGGTATAAATGACGACAAAGTCAAATTGGGCTCAATAGGCCCTACATGGCTGTGATGACAATATTTTTGTGAAATATATATTGCATACATACTCAGTAATGATCTAATACATTTTTAAGGTATGATTTATTTGAGTGACAAGGCCATCACAATTCAAGTGTAAAAGCAGATGTCACTAGTCAGCAATAAATGAAACACTGAGTAATGAACCTTTGGGCAAAGCAATGGGCTTTGCTTCATGAGGCTTCATTTGGCCATCACTAGCTGGCTTAGAAACTGACCTCTACCATCTCCCTTCGGAGGTTTGTTGATTTGATCAAATCGATTTTTCCTGAATTCACGCAACATGATTTATACGACCGTGTCATAAATGGCATTTCCCCTTACACTGGAGCAGGCTTAAAAGTGTATAAAAGTCTAGATGCTTACCAGTTTTCTTCAGACATTCTAGGCTGCATGATAGTGTAGCCTAGAATGTACCTTCTCCATAATGCAATATTGAATTGCATCTCCCTAATCTTACCTGCTTATAAATATACTAATGTTAATTTTCTTACATTTTAAAGAGTTCCCTGTGAATCCACAAAGAGAACACAGACGGCTGCTAGGAACGATGTCATGTTTCCTCATCAAAAGTTTTACGATAAAATGAAAAGTTTGTGCTGCCCACCGCACAGCACCTAGGACAATTCCCATAGTTAAATCAGCTGAATACAAATTTTTTAAAAAAGTTACTTTATGCTACCAAATGTATGTTTGTTGACAGGCTTTACAAGAGTGCATTCTTTTGGCGTCCGTCATGGTGGAGCAGGCCACTTTCTGAAGAGAGTGACCCCAGTGACAGGCACAAACATCTAAATATTTTTATATATGTACTTGAAAAAAAGAACAGCTCAAATTAGTCATTCAAAAATAAAATAAAAATGATATTGATGCCTGTCATAAGAGAATATGATCTTCATAAATGTAGTTCCTACGAGTTAAAATGAACAGTTATGCAGAAAAAAAACTTTTGTTTTTATCCACAATCAACATTTTGTCATTTCATTATCAGTCTATTTGGACTTTTCAATATTTAATGTTCTTAGCTTTTCAGTGTTCATGATTTTTCTTCACATATTTGATTTATGTTTTGCAGGTTTGGGGGTAATAACCTTGATGTAAGAAATTAGTGCCATTTATCCATTTGCAAGCCGCAACACTGGCATTCTGCCACTAATGTCACTTTACACACATTTAAACAACTTCTATTAGAGAGGAAATCATTAATGTGTGCAGATTTGGAGTATAAATTGCATTTTAATTCCACTGCATATTATAATTCAAGGGTGGTGCAGAAGCCTGCATTAGCAGAGGGAGCAGCGGCTGCTTCCGACAGTGTTTGACCTTTTTTAACACCATGCCATGCACCATGCCCATCATCAACAAGGTTGAGTGTCCCATTGCAATCACAGAAACATGCCTTGCTGGACTGGGACATATGCAGCACAGAACAGTGAGATCAGCACAGACTGTCATAAATTATGAGTTAAGTTGTGGAAAATCATCTTGTTTCTCAATTGAAATGAATGTGGTTCACAAGATAAAACCTTTGGAGGATTTTTGACAGTTGTTATTCAATATTAAATTTTGAGACTTAATGTTACTGTTAATGGTGAATGACGACATTTAAAAAAGCCAAACACAGCTGCTAGAGAAGAGCAGAAAGCAAACTCCGGTTCCCTTTTCCCACTGCAGTCCAAATCCAACCCAGGCAGAGCTCAGTCCAACAGCTTCAGTACAAGCACGAACATCTGAGCCCATAAACAAATAAGCTTTCTGTACCAGTCAGTCAGTATGTTAATTTGCTAATGCAAATTAAAAAGTAATTGTTAACTGTGTGTACACAGAATAATCTGCCCCAGATGACTGCTGTGGAGATGATAAAGAAAAAGAAAAAAACCGCTGCAGAGATGTCCGGTACAGGGCATTTTATGCTCCATTACACACTTTAGTTCCTACTGAGTTAATTTAAACAGGTTGGTAGGGAGCAGATCAAACTGTAACCTTATCTGCTGCTTTCATTTTCCCTCCACTCAGTTTAATTTCACTCTGTGTACAGTAATAAGACAAGGATTTAGCTGCTGTTGAACTCGGGCCTGCTCAATCAGAGGTTGACCTGAAGCTCCACTGTGATTCTTCAGGTAGTCTCCACATTTATAGCAGAAAATGTGGAAGGCCGCATTAAAGATAAAGGTGTGATTTAGAGGCGTGATCAATTAAAATACCAAAAATAACTGAGGAAGGAGGCCAGGAATGTAGGCATTAAGGACGAGGGGGAGCTTAGCCTCCAGGAGAGGCACAGGATGTGAGCAAACAGTTAGTCACCATAATAAAGTGGTTTCCTAAAATTGCTAGGTATCCTATGGAGAACAGGTGTAGAAAGTGACAAGCTTGGATCACCTTTTGAGCAATTCTTTGTATATTTTACATCAAAGTAAAAGAAAACTAATGATTTATGATAATATCTGAGTAAAAACTAATGTATGTAATTATTTATTTAGCTTTTGAAAAAGATATTTTTGTTTTGTTTTTATTAGAAATAAAAACAAAACAAAAAAACCCCATCTAATTATTGAGGATATTTTAGAGAGGTTTCAACCCCCCTAAAATTATGCTACTGGAGGAAGAAGCACAACAAACTTTACAACAGTTGTAGGATGTGTTTAAGTAAGCAATTCACTTCCTTCTTTCATTGTTTTGCATGTTTGGAAATGGTGAGCAGAAAATGGTTTTGTTTCATGGATGAGAAAATAAAAACATCAAGAGACTTCAATGTTGAATGTAGATCTGGTTGTTGAAGCCGAGTCAGAAACGCGTTCAATGACAGCTGAAGGGCAGTTCTTCCATGGGAGAGTAAAAATGACGGAAAATATACAAGTGCCCCAATTTGAGCACCAGGATTAAGTTAATTTATGTCAGGTATTCAATTACATATGAATATTTTGAAGTTTATATTAAATTAATTTAGGTGACTGTGGTTGAAACACCATTGAAAACCCAACACTTGGTTTTTCAGAAAATGCTTTGGTGTTTCTCACCGTCCTCTTCATAAAGACTCTATATGGGGTTTAGGTCATGCCAGTTTTCTGGCCAATTAGTCACAATTACACCTGGGTCATTAAACCAAGTATTGGCACTTCTGGCAGTGTGGGCAGATGACAACTTGAGAATAAAGTCAGCATTTCCACAAATCTTGAGAGCAGAGGGAATACTTCTGATGTCTGTGGTTGAGGGGAGGGGCAACGGGTTTGGTGGTTATCAAAGATCTGACTTGAGCCACAGTTCATGCCTTGTGAGATACCACCAAATTCTGCTTTATTTCACATCTTAAAGGCTGGAGTTATTTGTCGTTAGTGCATTTTTTCTTCTACTACTACTACTGCTACTTCTAAATTTTTTTATATGAAAACTAAGTGAAATATTATCCAGATGAAGCTTATATATTACCACAGTTGGTTACCCAGCAAATTAGTCAGAAAATCTTTCATTCTAGCTTTCTTCAAACATCAGTATTCAGAAGATATTTTGTCACCACACTGTGTGTATGCAGGTGTGAAATTATTTAAATGACTAATAACTGAAGCCTCATAACATTTTAATTATTATGAAAACTGAAGGATAGACCCTTTTAAGGATGGAGACGTGATAGAATTTTTAATTTTCTGTTCCTGCTTTAATGCATTTCTTGTTTTAAATTTAGTCTTCTCATTCGTTGCTTTATTTCACCGCACTTTGATTTATATTGTATAATGCTAGATTAACTCAACCTCACATAACTGGCCTCTCGAAGACAGAAACTGCACACATTAATGAAATATGTGAAAAGTGAGAGAATTTCTTACCGGAGTCAAGCTAAGAGTTAGAAAAAGTGGCGGTCTTGCCACAGAGCTTGCATCTTTTTCCAAACATTTAGGAGTTGTAAGAAACGGCTTTAAAAAAAAAAAAACATTTTAATACACCATAATCTTACATTCAATAGCTATTAACATTATCTATAAAAATATAAGTTCCACTGGATGTCTTACCTTTTTTTTGTTGCTTTTTCAAATCAGTCATGAGCAAAAAAAACTTGCGTTACCATCATACCAGAGTCTGTGTGGACAGACAGGTCTTAAGTCGACAGGTTTTAAGGTTTCTTCCAACAGTGGCTTCATCAGCTTAAACTGATGAAGAACTCTGGTGACCTTTGTTCCATCTCCATCTCAGCAGCTGAAGCTTGTAACTCTTTGCCTTCGGTTTAGTCATTGATATCCAATAGGCACTGTACATCAGACTCTAGGTTTGTTTGGTCTGCTGTAAATGACTTTCAATGCATTTGTAGCAGCTGTCACTCTACGTGCACCATGATGCCAGATCACTAATATTTGTAAATCATTTTAAGTGTCTTGTTTTTGCACAAGCTTAATCTTGCACTGAAAAAAAAAAAGTGCAGCTTTCTTAACATTAAGCCTTACAGGAGAAGTTTGCAGCTCCTACCCTCGAGAGTTGAAGTCCTGTAACTGTTGTACACAGCCCTGCTAAAAAACACCTGAATCAAATAGCTGCATTTCCTCTTCAGCATGTTGTCATGTTCTGGAGAAGTCGGTAATGAGCTGATTTGGTTCAGGTGTGCAAGATAAGGAATGAATCTACAAACATGCAGGACAGAATTGGAGATTTCTCCTTTAGAGATTGTATCTATCGCCCTTACCACTCTTCTTACTCTGCATGGTGCAAACAGGCGTAGACCTCCATCTGGCCTTGTTTGCCATGGTTCAGATTTTCAGATTTTTCTGACAGTAATAAAAGAAAAGAAAAAAAAAGGTTCAAATCCCTTTAATCTTTTGTGACTAATGAAAGAAATACACATCTGCCTTATTCGAATGGCTTGCTTTCAAAACCAACAAAGTTTGAAAATTTGCTCAGAAAAATGACTGGATGTGTCAATGCATGTTTGCTTGTCTTTATTTTGAAAACTCCATAAGAGAAGCAGGTTTTGGTCTCAAATTGGCAGAGATATTGCTGAATATGCCACAAGTGATTTAGCTAAACCTTACACGAACTAATAGTTGGATATTTCAGATTACAAATCTGCTAATGTAGGAAAGGGGTCATTCTATTCGAATGAGTAGCTTGTTGTAGCTGATCAGAACCGAATCTGAGCCTACCACAGGTAAGATACTGATTGCAGACAACTTCAACAAAAAAGATGATTCCATTGATTCTTAAACCAAGTCGTTCTGTCCTTTGAGGTTGTTACTGAATCTTTAATCATGGGAAGCACCAACAGACAGTCTCATTGTGCATGTTGTTTTGAAAGTATACACACATAACACAGGGGGTAAATAATATGAGAACTCTTTTTTTCTTTTTCAAGTGGACAGCCAGTGAAATTGATGATGAAATAAATCTTACAGTGTTACAAAACGAAACTGTGGTATCTCCCTTTCAGCTGGTAGCACTTTGTGGAAGAATACACTGATTAAAAAACTCTTGCATGGCTTATAACAGAGATGTTTAATGTAAGACACTAATGTTTTATTTCTTTCATTATGTGCAAGGTACAAGTTCATGGCAGAAATGACAACAGAAACGCCGCATGTGCGTATCAATGATGAGATAGTCGGGGTTCACAGATACTGCAGGGCATGTCCAGCTCCAGAGGTGGATGGGTGTAAAGTCGGGTGTCTTAGAGCGCAATTTACAACAGTTTTCTCTTCTCAAACTCCTGCAAAGACAGACAACAAAGAGAAAGAAGACACAGGGCGTCAAACGAAGTGAGACAGAAAGACATGAATGATTTATTCATGTGGAATTCATACAGACTTGTTTTGATCCTGTGCATCAGATATGCTGTTGGGGGGGGGAGTGTTGAGTAGCTCTGGAGTCTCTTTTTTCATTCCTTGAGAGTGTACCTCGCTCAGCACATACATGTCGGAAAGCTCGAGCACTTTAAGAGCTCACTTGTTGGTTGTCAACATTAAAAAACAGATTGCTTCCTTTGATTGATGGGAGTGGTACATCTGTGAAAATCTGTTTTATGTGAGGTTATGCTAGCTGTGTTTATCTGTGCAGTCCAACCATGTGACTATAAATGAGAAGGCATTATGTTAGCCATTAAAAAGGATGTTGCTATTTACATATTCAATTTGCAGAGTATCACACAAATCGCAGGATGATAGAATACGTCGTTCCCAGAGAATTTTCCATTCCGAGGGGGAGAGTAACTTAATGCAAATGTCATTTATCAGGTCTAGAGAACACACAAGCACTCGAGCACAAGTTGGCCCATTCCTTGGTGGCTTGTGAATGCATGAAGTTATACTGCCACCCTGAGGCAGGAATATAAAAACATGAATAATCCAGAGTGGTTAAGATGCCACCTTGCAATCTAAATCTGACAGTAAAAATGAGCAAACTAAATTTGCTCATCTTAGAAATGCTTTTTGGCATTTGCTGAATTGTTCCTTAAAAGGAAGACTAGAAAAGAACTGAAGAAAGTTTAGAGGCAAATAAGTAAATTAAGGGAAACAAAGAACGGTAATGGAAGGTAAAAAATGACAAAAATGAATTCCAAAAATTGCACTTCTGACAAGCAGGAGACACTAACTCCAAGGTCACAAAACAAATAGATGCTCCAGGGAAAGATTGCTTAGCTCTTCCCTGAGAACGGGGGAAGAAAACACTTTTGTTTGAGCCTGCCGTTTGACAAGTCAAGAGCAAGGGGAGGAGTAAAATGAGAAAAGTAGAGGTTGTCAGTCAAAGGTGACAAGTGAAAATACCCCTGGTCCAAAAGCGAACGGAAATGTGACATGAAAGAAAAGCAAGACATTTACAAGCGAGCAATGACAACAGCTTTGACGCACTTGGCCCCAGATATATGAAGCCAACAGGCACAGTAAACAACGTCAGTAAACTGCTTCAACTGTTGAATTTATAAGAGCTACAAAATCTAAAGGCTTCTGTTTGTCTGCACCTATTGGGTTTGAATTATAAAGGGTTTTGTGCAAAAAGCAACACAAAGTAGTGGATAACTGTGAAAAGAATGGCTTAGAAAAAAAACTTAAAATCTTCCATGCGACATATATTTGTATTCAGTTTCTTTTTTCTGATGTTATTAAATAAAGTCCAGTGCAACCAAATGCATTCAGAAATCACCTAGGAGTAAATAGAGTCCACATGTATCAGTGGTATTCCAATTTCTCTGTGAATGTCTCAGAGGTTTGTTAAGAGATTATTAGTATGAAAACAGGGGCAAAAATACAATGATGTGTCAGGCATAAGGTTGTAGCTATTTTAACTTATAAAATAGCTATGCTATACTAAACTTTGTATAGAATATGTTATGCTATACTATGCTATATTAAGCTACGCTATACAATATTATGCTTTACAATACTATGCTGTGCTATACTATAGTTTGCTATGCTATATGTTATGCTATGTTATTCTATTCTATGCTACATTATGCTATGCAATATTACGCAATACTATGCTAAACAATCTTATGTTATGCTATCCTATACAATATTATACTGTGCTACACCATCTGGCAGTCAAAAACCCATATTACAGAAATCAAATTAATTTAATAGATAATTCTTTTAAACAGTTTTATATGATTCCATGCTTCAAAGAGAATTTTGTAAATGCCAAGGATTTTGGAGTAAATTCTAGACATATTACTGATCAAATGCTTTTGTTTTTTTTGCACATGTATGTTCTCTCCAGTGTATTTAAAGCTAGTTATCAATGCAACGAGATAAAAGAAAAATCAGTGTTATTAATATAGTTATAAATGTATAAAAGCTACAAATATTTAAGTTTAAAGATGAATATTTTATAAAATGAGCCTCTTTGATCTGCGCAGACGAAAAGAAAAGAGATTGAGGGAGATAAGTCATCATATGCAGTGAAACTGAAAATTCAGCAAATCGGAATGAAAAGAACAAGATAGAACTATGTTCATAATGTGACCATGTTGTACTGCAATCACAGGTAGCTACAACCAATCCAAGCACCAACACTGGAGACAATTATAACACTAATGACTGAAAAAAAGAGCGCTGTGTGAAAAAAAGACCCAAAGTGTTTACTAGAATAACAAAATTTCAATTACCATAACACATTAAGACTTAAGTGGCCTGTGAAGGCATTATAAAATTGAACTGTTAGAACAAGCTTAATTAAAAATGATTGTCCAGGTGAAAACAACTTCACATTGAGAATGCCTACTTTGCTTCAGCCTTGAGGGAAGGAAAAAAAAGCTCGCAAAGATCCCTCTTAGTTTGAAGGGTAAACAGCTGCTTATACAGCATCTAAATTGGATAAAACTTTCTTAGACCATGAAGGTTTTTCCAGATAAGATGAACCAATTCCCTTCTGATCTTCTAGTTCATATCTTCCAATTTCTACTTTTATGTTCAAAACAAGCATTTGCTTTGCATGTCTCAGTGGCCAGAGCGCTGTGGTCCAAGGCTGAAAAGCATCTTTAATAAACTCAGCACCGCCAGTTCACAGGAATACACTCAATTTCTGTTTACAGTTACATATTCTCCAATCTAAAGCTTCATGCTGACCTCCTCTTCTGATGAAACTGAGTCTTTTTCAACATTTAAGAATGCATTTATGCAAACCTGACAACAAACTGTTTTGAGCAGTGATTTTATTTGATGCCCTATTAGAGCTTGACACCTTTTCAAGGCAAATTAAGAAGATGGTCAAAACAGAGACAAGGAGGCCCCGTTAATTATTTTTCCAGCTGATTAAATGTGATGACACATTATTCTTGTTTTGCATAATGATTTTTTTTTTTTTAATCACTCCCAGCAAAGTTCATCACGGTCAGTGGATGCAGATGTTTACTCCAGCAGCTGAGCAGCTGTTATTGGGGTCACCACAGTTTTAGGCCACACTCGAAGCATTGTGTCCGCTTGCTTCTTTTTATGCGTTATTACTTCAATTATAGCGGTCAATGAGATAAAGAGAGATGTATGAATACAACGTGTGGGAAAAATGAGCATCCACGCCGCACGTTTTTCATCATTACACGCAATGATTATGAATTAAACTGTGGCAAAAAATGTCATGTAAATCTATATCTGTGTGCAGTAGTGCCAGCAGTGGTAATGAAAGTATAGGATGATAAATGGGTGTAATACATGCTTTCACTTTTTATACATCTTGTTAACTGTGCCTCCCTTGGGATAAACCTAAATAAAGAGGTGGTAGTGTCAGTTCAGTTCCACACATGCTTATTAATTTTTGCCCCTCTTTTCAGCAGTTCTTTGTTTATAGCACATTAAAAATTAAAACTCGACACTCTGAGAAAAACCGATTAAATTATGAAAGAAAAATAATAAAAATCTCCTCACATTTGTAACAGTGCTTAATTTAAAGCTAACACTAAGTGACCAACACTCAAACATAAAGCTGGAACAGCAGGTGTAATAGTGTGGCTATCAACTTGGTTCCAACTCAATCATTCTTTAGAAAATGCTTATTCAGACTGAATGGAGAGCAACTGTGAACATTGATTTTCAGGTCCTGTCACAGATTCTCAATTGGATGTCCATCTGAATGTTGACTGGGTCATTCTAACCCATGAACATGGCTTAATCCAAACCAATTCAGTGAGGCTCTGACTTTACTTTGGGTTGCTCTGAAAGGGGAACCTTTGCCAACTTTTTGCAGCATCTAACAGGCTTTCTTCCATGAAGGCCTGTATTTAGCTCCATCCATCTTTCCTTCAACTTTGTCAGGCTTCCCTGACCCTGCTCAACACAATCCTCCATACAGCATAATGCTGGCAGCTTCTAGTGTCACCATAGGGGCAGAGGATTCTGAAGAGTTTTCTGTCAGGCAGTGTATAGCATGTAGACCCAAAAGGTCAATTTTAGTTTTCTCTTACTAAATCATCTTCTACATTTTTGTTGGGTCAGATTTAATAGTTTCCCAGTTGTACATCAGTAACAATCACAGCACAGCTGCATATGTACAGTGTACTGCATACAGTGTACTAATTTCTAACCAGATAGCTTCTAGAAGCTACTGGTTACACTGGATTTCTCCATATCACAATTAGTTGCTGTGGTGTTTGTTCAATAAAACAGAAATATGTCTTCAAGACACTGTTACTGGCTCACTTGTTCAACTGAAATGTGATCTGTGCATTTATTTAGTTTCTTCGTATTAGAAATGTCTGAAAAAGTAAAATTAACAGCACAGATGTGGCTGTTTGCGTTCATACTGTCCCCATCTATTTGAATATGTATTATTATTAATGGATTTATTATCAATTTATTAGGGAAGCATTTTCCACCATTTGAATGTGATACACCTACCTCAACAAAACAAAACAGACTGACGATAGTAGCAGAGCAGCAAAAACAAGGGAAGCACTGCAGTTCAATAGATCTCAAATTGTTATCATTTTGGGCATTTGCAAAATGCCACTCCGAGGCTGAGCATTTTAAAATTGCTTTTATGTAATAATGAAAAGTCAGACCATTGGCATAATGACAATATGCAGGTTTCCAGTAAATTACATGTACACTTCCCAAAATAAAAATAAGGTTGCCTCCAACTGTCTGTCTTAGCTTTTTTATCCCCTGTATAAGCAGTAGGTGATGCTTCAATTTCAAAAGATCCCTGAGGCCAAATCTGTGCTTTGATGCAACAGTTAATTTATTATTTTTTCTAAAGGTTCTTCTGGCACTAGCGGCCTTTATCTGCAATAGATTAGACAGGAAATGGGCAGAGAGAGAAGGGCGAAGGGCCGGCAGCAAAGGTCCCAGGGTTGGGAATCGAACCTTGGATGGCTGCATTGAGGATTAATAGCCTCCCTTTGAGGAGCATCCACTCCACCTCTACACCACACACAACCCCAGCACTCTTTAATTTATAGTAGCGGTGTGTAGTATGATCACTGTGTTTTACCAGGACACCAATAGCTGTCACACAACATGCTTATACTTATGTTACATGCTATGATTCAAGAATCAAGAAAACAAAGAACATCTACTAAGCAGGCCAAAAATGCAGGAAGTCTAGGGAAATATCAAATTAATGAAAAGCAAATATACAAAAGCGAAAGAAACAGAACAGTGACGAGTCAACATCAAACAAACTGTAAATGCATCCATCTCTTACTGGAGCTGCACTTTCCCCAGACAATAAGAGATCGACAAGCAGATCCATCTTCCTGAATCATCATGCGCAAACCGGATGGAAAAATGTAAAATGAAGGGGAGCAAACAACAAGCACACAAAACATGGAACAGTCTAGGCTGTGAACTTCAGTCTATGCCTGGATTTGCAACATGCTTCGAGGGAAGTTTAAACTCCGCTTGATAAATACGGACATGTTCTTGTAAAAGAAATCATGAGCCAGTGAATCATGTTAGAGGAAGTGGCTTTGATAAAAAGCTCTTTATTCTTCAAAGTGTTTTAGTGTAAATGTTAGGGGTAATCAAAGAATGTTGCACTGAATCAAGTCAACTGTGTGGATCTAGCTTAATAACCAATCGATGTTACGTACCTCTCACAGACTTCATCACCTGGTAACAATATAAAACAGCTGTTTAATTACATATGTAAGTGCAAGAGCGCCTTTCACAAGACTGTAGCTTTTCTTGCCGGTACAAGCAGGGCGGTCCTCAAGATAAACAAATTTGGGCGTAAAGGTTTATCCAAAGACTTCATCTACTATTTATTATTTTAAAAAGAACTATATTATCAAATCTGCAGATTATTATTTAAATTAACTAATTAATAAAATGAATAATTGGATTGCAAAAGATGCTCAAGAGGAGATTTTTCTTTTCACAGAATTAGGAACGGGTGAAACTGAAAGTGGCATTTTTATAAAACGGAGAGTATGTCAACCTAAACACTGATTCAGGTTTAGTGAAGTCTCTCACCTTGAACATTGTGCTCCCCAGCTGAGCGGGGGACATGCTGACCACAACTCCAGCAGACTGGAGTGCTGCGATCTTCTCTTTGGCTCCGCCCTTCCCACCAGCGATGATGGCACCAGCGTGGCCCATCCTGCGGCCTGGAGGAGCCGTCAGCCCAGCGATGAACGACACCACAGGCTTGGCGTTATCTCCCTGGACGATGGAGAGTGCAGGGAGAAAACCAAAAAAATTAAAATGAACTTAAAACAAACAAAAAAATTAACAAAAAATTTTAATAATAAAGAGAGAAACACCAAATGGAAAAGTGATGTTTGTTTTGTAAAATAGCAGTAGCAGCATCATCTGTACAAAAGTAGAAGGAATTACTTTTCTGCACTTGCATTTCATTTATTCATTAGACACATTGCACCTCATGACCTCCCATTAGAGAGCTCCATGATAACACCCAAGTCTAACCAGTCATCTCTGTCTATGCCAGCATTATTAAAACAAAGGGTCAATCAAGCCATTTAATTGCATGGGCGGCAGTGTGACCAGATAGGGGCTCAGGCTCCTGCCATTTCATATCATCTCATTTCTGAATTGGTAATTAGTCATGCAGCCAGTGATTAGCTCAGCGCTTGTCTATGCTACTTGTTCATTGATGGATGTTACATTCAACAGTTAAGATCATTTCCAAGGTGAAGAGAGCTAATATTTCATCTTCAGCCATAACATCATAACCAGAAAGAGGGACAGAGGCTGTGCGTGTGCGAAGCAGCTAATATTTCATACTTAGGGATAACAACATAATTGCTGGGGACGGCTTTGTGCGTGTGTACAGGCTGACGCTCATCTGGCAGACAGCATCCAGAGAGCGAATGTGGCATGTTTAACAGCCAAAGCAGCACAGCAAAGTCCTTCAAAGACACGCACTCCTGCAAGCATTTCAGCACCAGATTTAAAGATGACACTGGCAGGAACGAGATGGCACCTCTTGATACACATAAGCTCAAGACGACGTTTGATAATTGAGACTAGCAGGGCATATATTAGCCAAGGGAACGTCAAGGGCCCTGGATGAAAAAGCATCACTAACTAGATGCGTTAAGTCTTGCAGAGTTACCCAGGAAACGCAGAGAGGGAGGGAATATATCACTACATCACTATAAAGAGCTTTGAATATGTTACAAGCATCTCTTCTAACCAATGAAAGATTATAAGCAAAAAAAAAAACAAATTAGTAGAAAATAGTCTACTCAGAAATCAAAGCACGTTCTGAATACACAAACCGCCCTCATGTGAATCCAGCCTTAAATCTACCTCAAGCAAAACAGGTTTAATTACTCTATTAATTCCTGCCTCTCTTGGCACTAAGTAACAATTCAAAGAGGGAGGGAGGCTGTGCTATTCGCTCCAGCCGTCTTCTGTCGTTCACTGTTAGCAGCGCAGATTTATTACATTCATTAAGGGACCAATAGGGGAGTTTCACAGTTTCTGTTTGCCAACATGACAGGGGAAGTGCTTTGCACCATAAACACAAACTAAAGTCGAACTCAGGCTATTTTAGGCTCCTATAAACATGACAGGCTGGTAGGAGTAGCTGGAATGTGCTTACATATAACACAGCTTTAAAAACTCATGCACCAGAAAACAAGCTCATTTTATTATCAGTCATTTCTGTACTGATAATACAGAAAGACTGATTTCTGATTCCAATACGTTTCAATATGATATAGATATGTTAGCTTGAATGCCAAATTTTCAAATCTACTTACAAAGATAGAAAACTGTACAATAATGAAAGTATACAGTTATGTAAAAAAGAGATATCCTATTAAACACTCAGTGCTTTCAAAATCAACATTTACATGTCGCTATATAAGCTGTTCTCTGAAAAAGAACTTTTTTTTTTATTATTTTAGGTACAGACAAAAAATAAACCGACTTTTATTTAGTAAACCAATTCCAGCCCATGTGCCATCTTTCCAGCACCACTTCCATTTTTAGAATCCCAGTTTTTTATTGTGCAGCTCTATCTGTTAGATTTTGCGATTTTAAAAAGTGCAGGTAAATCATTTATCTGCTAACACAGAGCTTCTGTGATGGGCCTGGATTCCAGCAGCTACTCTGTCTGAAACTCTAATTCAAATAGCCTTAAATTAAGAAAAAAAAAGTTAGAGCAGGGTAATTCAAAGTGAAAACATTGTGTCCTGACATTTTTGTATGACTCCCCCTGACTATTAAAAACAGGTCTAAGAGCACCATTTTATGAACAATTTTCTACACAAGTGACTTTCAAAGGGGAATCTGCAGCTTACTCCCACACTCTGCTGGGCTTTTCATGCTTGTGTTTCATTTGAACTGTCCCTCACTGTCAACACTCAGTGTGATTGGGTGGGGGGATTGTTTGTACTTTATTTGTTCAGTCAGAGTAGTTATTCTCCTGAGACGCCAGCAGCAGATTTGCATTCATTAGAGCAGCAGAGGGCAAATCAAATCCATTTCTCAGCTCAAGAGCACACATATACAGAAAAAAACAGAGCAAAATTAACAGAGTAAAAGTAATCCATGGGACAAGAGTTCAGACCTGGAGAAGTTGTAAATGTCAGGAGCTTCATCACATCACCCAATCATCACCTCCCTCACAACTGAACATCAGAAAAGCTTCAGAATTCATCACCACGGCCGATTTCTAAAACATGGCCTTCATCTGATCTGTCACTTTCTACTTTCATCACATAAATAACTGAGACAAATATGGGGAGAAAGCCTGAGGGCTGTGATCAAAGAAACAAAGGTAATACTCCAACATATTCTTAGTGTGTGATGGTTGCCTTTCTTCACAAGAACTGGAAGATTTGGGGAATGTATTTTACTGTTTTAGTAAATCTTTTGCTGATTTTCAAAAAATCATGAGCAAAGTTTAAAAAGCACAGACACACACGAGAATGTGTAAATAAGGAGTATTAGTATGTTATTTGCTTACAGTATTGTGCTGCTTCAGATACTCGGCAGCATTCTCCTCAGCATTTCCTCCAATCTCTCCGATGAGGATAATCCCCTCTGTTTTGGGATCTTGCAGGAACACTTCCAGACAGTCTATGAAGTTTGTGCCATTAAATGGATCACCACCAATACCTTTCAGGAGAAGAAAACAAACACTTATGCATCCAAGAATGCCAAAAGGTGAATTATGTAAGTGCAATCATAAACAAGCACATAAGAGCCTACTTTTCCTTCGTAAGATCTAAGAAAAGGTACTGAAATAAAACAGGGAAGGAATTTTTGATATTAGCTGTTAACAACAGTCAATTTATCTTTGTTTCAGATTGGGGGAGGATCATTTGGAATATTACTTCCAGCAAAAAAATAAATAAAATTGCATTCTTCATAAACTCTTGAAGAAAAACATGAGCCTCAAAGATGGAAGCCTGGCTTCATACTTAGTGCCCTGAGTAGTGCCCTGAGTAGGAAGGTCACAGCTGGTTTATCAGAACTTTCTATGGTGAATACGGCTCAATGACGGCAAGAGACCTGCACTAACTTAGAGCATCTCCAAATAGCTTGTGGAGCTGCTAGGTAGAGCAGCTACCTTGTCCTTGCTAAGAATTAGAAATAAAGATCTGGAGAGACATTTGCTTATTTTTCTATTTCACTTCAGTTGTTAATAATAAAAACCTTATTTATTTATTTCTTTTAGAACAGCACCTTAAGGATACTTTTATATTAGATGCAGAGCTTACAAAGCCAATGTAAACCACATGTTCTAAGAAATGTGAGAAAACCTACACAAAACAACAATGTAGGGTTAAAGATTATTTATGATATTTATGATTGAATAACATTTTTTTCCCAAATTAAAATAATGAAAGATTTTAATGTGGACCTGTTCCCATAACGCATTAACAAATCAAGATTTCCATGGTGACAAAACAAGGTGTAAAAAGGAGTCAGTCTGTTCCAGGTTTGTCTGCCAATATGAGCAGCTCAGGGCCAGTTTCCTTTCAAATTTCCCTTATTGCTTATTTATTTTCTTCCTGTTTTGTTTGGACAAAATAAAAACCTACAAAGAAAATACCATTTCCAGTTGTTTTGTCATTTGTGAACAAATAGGAAATAAGCAATAAAAATAATAAAAAACATAAGGCCATTTTCCACCAGACTGCAAAATAAAATAAAAAAACTAACACGGAAGACAATCATCTACAGGAATAATAAACATCAGTTTATTCAAAGACACCAATTTTTTTTTAAATATTCAGTATCTTACAATATTGGCTGAAGTCAAATAGTTAAACAATTGGGATAAAGTGACATCAGCTCTTCACTAATGAAGGAACTGAACATTTTGCCAGTAAAATTATAAAATGTTTTTAAAAGATAACTCAGGATATTTTATTTCACCAAAATGTACTGTATACTTAATAGTTAATAAAAAAAATTGCAGTAAACAACAAATAACAGAAAATAACATGAGAAATAAATTACATTTAAAAGAACATTACATGTTTTGTTTTTCTTCACAATAACAATTAATTAAACTTTACCTATGTTTTTTTAAGCGTTTTTGAGACATGAGGATTCTGAAGGGGAGCAAAACAACTCTTTGGTGTGAAGTTGCTATTGACTGAAGAAAACTAGCTATTTTCAGTAACAGTGAAGTATTAAAAGTGTAACTATAACACCTCTGTGAAACCACAACCATGCCACCTGACACATTTAGAAAACTTTCATTCAACTTAACAACTTTATCTCTTTATTTATTTATTTTTTTAAAGCGACAAGTGACAAATCTAGTGATTTGATTGCAGTAGCCACCCTTCAAACCAAGGAGGGCAGCACTAAGATGACTTTTGGTAAGATGCTGTAGATTTAGTTACATTTACAAGAAAATATCAAAGTTTGCACAAAAACATAAAGGAAACACCCTTAAGAACAAATTTAGACAGTTCATGTGGACAGAGGAAACAGATGCAAAGAAGCTATTTAAATGGAAACTGTGTTTTTAATGACATGTCCAGACATCTCTGAATCGGAGACATATTTAGATAAAAGGAAGGATGAGCAAAGTTATGTTTACATTTTATTCTCCTGAACTTTCATCCTCTTTCTAAAGCAGAGCTTGGTCTGCTGGGTCTGTGAGAAAATACCGTGGGATAAAATGTGTTTATATCCAAAATTTTAAAAAAGTCGTTATTAAAATATGTTACAAAATTAATTATATGACCAGAAAAGAAGATGAGAGTGATATTAAGTTTTGCAGTGACTATAATTTGCAGCCCAAAGGACAGTCAAACATTCTCAACAGCCCCACAGTCTTAATGAACGTTATAATATGTAATACTGTTGCAGCACTGATTTCATGAAGTCTGACTGGAGGGATACTCGATAATTAAACTGTTTAAATAATGATGGAAGCCAGATGGATTTTACTAAATATGTCCAAGATGTTCCATAATGCAATTTTTCTAGAGGAAAAGATGTTGGACAAATAAAAACTCATTTTGTTGTTATGATGAAAAGAGCTGCATCAAATTTTCATCCAGATGTATTTTGGGCATGAACATCTGCATGACGCTCTATGGCAGATTATGTGGCATGCCTTCCTGAGCTCTGTGCAAATATTACATGCTTGTTTACATCTAAACTCACAAAATCTAAAGGGATTATTGTGAACTACGTCAAAAAAAAAAAAAAAAAAAAAAAACATAAAAAATCAAAAACAGTATTATATATACAACATCGGCAGCACATGCCCCTGGTTTTCAAAGATATGTTACCATCAACGAGTCTGTGAATATTGTGTGTGTCCTAATTAATCCTTAATTTGTGATTACGCTTTTTGATGTGACGTTGGCTAAGAAATAGGGTTCTACTGCAGACCCCAGACTCCTGATAACAAAACAGGCAAGCAGTCTGTTAGGTGATATTTTAAAATATTTGTATACAGAAAGGTCCACTGATTTTATACCTCAGCACATGTTTATTATGGTCATGGTTCAGTTTCTGTCAGAATTGAAAATGTTTTGATGTTTTAGGATTTAACAAAAACCTTTACAATAAAAAATAAAGGAACAGGAACTTTTTGTTTCAAACTGAATTTTTCTTTGTTTCTGTTAAAATGGTACTGTGTTTAAGCTCTATATTAACTAAACTAATGTGACCTATAAAAAGCGCTATTTCAGGTCGATTTTTTTCTAATAATTAAAAACACAAAATAGTGATTACGTTTGTTCGTTACATAATTGCAATTTTGTAAAAGCATTTGTGAAATTATGTATGTTTGGGTCACAAAAAATTTGTTCACAGGTTTTAACATAAATTAGTGAAGAATTTCAACCTTAAAAGTATTCAATTATTGACCTTAAACACAGTTTTGATTTGTCATTAAAATCAGAAATGTGAAAATCAAGAGGGTTTTAAGTGTTCAATTTGGGGCCAACAGGAGTTGGCGAGTTTTTTGTTCATTTTTAATGAACAAAAAAATCAATGCCTTTGATGAGATTTTACACAAGGTGACCTGTGTTCCTCATATCTCTTCCAGTTTAAAAGAAAATCATTAATACCCCACTTCAAAAAACAGTCAAATTTGTTGGTTCTCTATATTTTCTTACGTAATTTTTTTAGGATTTTAGATATTTTAGAAATGATTTCATGACTCTTAAGAAATACAGGGACCTCTAATAAAAATGACAGGAAACTTAAGTCCTAGCTACATATCTGAATGCTAACTGGTAATAAAATTAGGAGATGTGAATTTAATCTATTCACATTTAATCTATGATGTCAGCAGTAACTTACCCACACAAAGAGACTGGCCCAGGCCCACTTGTGTAGTCTGATGCACGGCTTCATATGTCAAGGTACCTGATCTGGAAACGATGCCTAGAAGACAGAGTTTAAAAACATTTCTCAGAATGCAATGTGTATGTTTTATTTCTATTTTAGTCTTATTTTTGACTGAATTGCTTCAAGCAAAAGAGTCAAAATAAACCAAATGTTTTGATTACGACAGCTTGGTAACAGCTGCTGTTTGGTTTTTGGAAAGAAGCCAGTTGATTTTTAATAAAACCAACATGCTGTAAAGGTTCACCGAGTAGCAGCTGCACATGGTGCTTATCAAGCTGTCAACAGCAGGAGATCTTTCAGGGATTTTACACAAGGGTGTATAAAGAAAAATATTAGCATTGAGTGTTTTTCTTTTTTTTTCCTTCACATGCCAGCCATTTAAAGGTTGTTGCAGGAGGAGGACATGTCTGGGTCATGACCTTTTAAACTGTCCACTTCACTGACTTGCCCGACTCGGCTCGCATTTTAACAAGAAGAAAAGTTTCTCTACTAAGGAAAAGGATATGTGGGAAATGGGGGCATTAAAAAGTAGGAGATGCTGCCCTCAAGATGCTGCTAAGTGCTTCTTTTAGCCACTAGGCTTGTTGAGGACCCATATTTATCTTGTGACCCATTCAAAGCGAGCTGAATGGTACGGGAGGTATAAAGGAAGAAAACAAAAACATCTCCAAACTTCAGTGTTGGAAAACTGAAACAAGGACTGGCATCTTGCGATCATCACATCTCCACAGTAGTCCACCAGATTCTGTCAAAAGTCTTTTTTGTCTCACCAAAATATTCAATCATTTGGATTTTGCTAAACTCTGGTGGGACTTCAACTGGAACCAACAAACATTCCAGGAGGAATATATGAAAAGGCAACTCATGCCCCTCATTAGGAATTAGGTCATTGGGTCTTTTAACACAAAAGGATTCAAAATACACACGTAAATAAATATGTATTTTACAATAAATACATCATGACCAGATCCCTGGAGCACACTCCTGTTGACTTGAACAAGTGTATTCTTGTGGTTGTAGTAAAGAATCAGTCCAGACTGTCTCTCCCAGTAGTTCAGTATCCCTGTAGTCCATTGTAAGACCAGACATAAAATCAACCTTCTTCCATTCTCTGTCTCCAGATCTAAATTGTACAGAAAACTGAGAGCAGAGATGAAAAGAAGACAGCATAAGAGAAGACCCAGGGGTCTGAATAATCTAGAAAGATTGTGCAAAGAGGACCGACAATGGTCCATCTCTCAGGGAATGCTCCAACCTTTTCAAATGCAATACAAACTGAGTTGTCGTATTGGCACGAGGGGGTTGTAAAATGTATCAACAGCAGGAGAGCAGATTATTGTACCTCTGCTTATTTTGTTTAAAACAAGAATTTCTTAATGTGGAAATATTTCCCACACTGCAAAATGTTTTTGTTCTCAGTGTGAGATTATGCAACTAGCGTAAATAAATACTTAGTTTAGTGCTTTTCACACATTTTTAGCAGGGGTGCTATTAACTCAGCCCAGTACCCTGTTAGAATAAAAAAAAAGATTATTTTTATGTTTAAACCAAATGTTTAAAGATCCTATCAAGAACATTTAGACACAAATAAAAAAAAAGAACAAAATACATGTATATTGTTCTCACCAATTCTTCCTTTTTTGTGAATATGTCCCGGCATAATTCCAATCTTGCACTCTCCAGGCTGTAAAAAAAGCAGAAGGAATTACCTTTGTTTTTTTAAGCAATATAATAAATTCAAAAAGCCAACTTGGTGTCAAGCTCTCAAGTGCAAGTTTAATTTTTTTCACTAAAAATATTTCTCGATATAGTTTCCAGTATTTTTTATGTCTTAAAATTTACATGAAGCAACTTGTATCTCCTTTGTCAGATCTTTGCAATAAATTAAATGAATAAGTCACCAGATTTCAGCTTTAGATTAAAGCCCATCTATCCACTGAATATAAAGCACCTGCCAATCCATGTGATGCAGTTTGTACTTGTATCTCTATTCTACACAACATATACATAAAAAGGCATTGGCATCATCAAGCCTCTGTGGTTGACCTTACATTGATGACTCCTGGGCAGTTGGGGCCTACGAGGCGGGTGGCGCTCTGACGCAGGAGCTTATGTTTGACTTTCACCATGTCCTGCTGGGGGATTCCCTCAGTGATGCACACCACCAGGGGTATCTCTGCGTCTATTGCCTCGATGATGGCAGCGGCCGCAAATGGTGGAGGTACATAAATCACAGTCGCTTCGGCTCCTGTACCGTCCTTTGCCTGAAACAATGAATGAAAGGTGTCATAAAATTCTGAGGTTGTCAAACAGTGCCATCTACTGTTACATATTTGTATAAATAAGTCATCATGGGCTGGAGGGTTACTGTCCATATTAACCATGCTTTTTCATTAAAAATATGATTAAAATATTCTTTTTTTTTTAAAAAGTGACTTGCCTCCTTGACTGAGTTGAAGACTGGCAGGCCGAGGTGCGTCTTTCCGCCTTTGCCAGGAGAAACTCCTCCCACAAGCTGCGAGCCATAGTCGAGAGACTGCTGACTGTGAAATGTTCCCTACCAGACAGGAAGAAGCAGGAATTAGTGAGCAGGTGTGAGTGATGAACTGGGCTGCAGCCACTTCTAGAGCGTCCCCATTGAGATATCATTGCAGACACATTTAGGAGAAAATATGCTTCCACCCAGGATTAATCACCCGAGGAGCTGGGTACAGGCCGAGCACCAGGAGAAGATGAAGCTAGCAGAAAATTTATTTGGTGAGAAGGAATCGAAATGTCCTTCACAAATAAATAATGGTGTGATATTAGTTTAATCTTCGGGCAGAACATTTGAAAAACAAATTAAAAAAGCAGCATGGATATTCCCCATCGACACTGGCTGTAAAATATTTCACACCAAAGAGACATTGTGAGAATATTTCAAATGCGGTCACTATCATAGATGCCGGAGAGGAAGTGTCACAGCTGTACTGCAACATTTGGGGAATTTTAATTCCTGACACTTTAAAAGTTTATGTACAGCTCAAGGACTTCTCCTCACTTACTGCGTAAAAATAAACAAATAGTATCAATGTGAGATCATCTCCCTCAGTCTGGAAAGAAACTCAAACAAAAACAGACAAGAAGTCTTGAAGAAAAAGCCCATTTGTATTCATATCTGTCACCAGACTCAGCAGAGCTTCAGGTTTTGTCGTCTTTCAATAGAATTCAATACACCTCGCTCGTGTCATCCTGGCTGATGTGGATTTCCAGTTAACTTTGAGGTCTGACCTGTCAATTCTGAGTTTGACAGATTTTCTTTGTGAGGGACATAACACAAATAACTTCTACAGGCAGAAGTTATCAGTAATCCAACTGATACTGAGTTAAATTACCCTATTTATGTTTTAAAGGCATGTTTTTCACTCAAAGCTCAAAGTGTGTCAAAGCACCTTTGAGACTGAAAACAGTTTGTACACTTAGTTTAACTGAACTTAATAAATAAAGGGGAATATAGGTTTTTCAGAATTTTATAAATTTCAGAATTTTATGACTCTTACCCACTGAATTTAAAAAGATAGCAATAACCTCAAATACAGCTTCTCAGTCTCTTTCTCTAGATTCGTCAGGAACTTGAATGTTAAAGTCCAGTCAAACCAAACATAAGAAAATACTTTTTATGAAAAGTTTTGCTGCTGAAATGTGCTACACAAATAAAATCTGGATTGATCGAAAATGGTTGCCTGGTATCAGAATGAGAAGTTGTCACACTGACTCAGTTCATCACCTGTTTTACTTTACTAGAAAAAATACCAGAGAGACAAGCATCAAGCTTTTCCTAGTTTGTTTCTTTTTCTTTCTTACTTTTTTTATATGGCTTCCTGATTCCCTATTTTCTCCTAAGAACTGTGATGTAAAAAAAAAATAAATAAAAATTTCATGACAGATTCTTTGCTAGCAGCCCCAGTTTCAACAGAAAATAGAATAGAAGAAATAGCCTCCAACAAGAGATGCATCAATTCTTCTGCAAAAGATTAGTGCATGTCTGGTTCAAACCTCAGATAGCTTTTAGAAATGCTTACTGAAGAGGAAAAACACAACATATGGTAAGAAAATCATTCATTTTTTCTACTGAGGAAAATATCTTTTATACCTTAAGGCTGCCGAAAAAAGTCAGACGCGATGTATGCATGAGGTGAAGGTTACTGCAAACTTTGGGAATCATTACTACTTCCTGCTCAAATAATTAGCACCTCGAAAGATCATTTGAACTAAAAGTCAATTTAAAAAAAAATATGAAGAGAAGCATCGAATTAGATATATAATAGAAAAAATGTTTGGTCTGTAAGTTATGTGCATAGATAACTGGTGCATGCAGTTGATCCAAGCTGATTTTCTGCCACACTAATCCTCAGAGGATGAAGTCAGCTAAATAGAAGCAAAGATGAAACAATGTACGCAAAGCAGGACAAGCAGAAACTACAAGTGGAAATAAATTACCTTAATGCAAAAATGATAACCAGCCTATTATGTAGAATTGGAAGCCATGCATCAGCATTTTCACCTCCATGTGTAATAGACTCCTTCACCCTGCTACCTCTGCTGTTTTTGGCACTCATTACTATCCAAAATGTTGGGATAATAATTTTTGAAAAATTGCTTGCTTATCAAGGCAGAAGGACATGGCCATGTGCACCCAATAGCACTTGCTTCATTTGGTGTCTTTCTTTAATTACCAGGAGTGTTCACTGGAACTATATTTAACAACCTTAGATGGAAAGCTGGAGAAACAAATGTGCTAAAGGACAGAGGGCGGATATGAATCTATGGAAACCAGGTTTCTGGCTTATTGAGCACACTTTGTCAAGACTTTAATCATCCCCACCTGGTTTAATGAGATTCTCCTCAGCTTTTTCTCTCTTACAGATTCACTTCAGGAATAAACAATCTGTCGTTCAGATTCATTACCACCGACTTATGAATTGAAAGAGTGCTAAGGGCTTGTTGCTGGGAAGAAACAAAAAAGGCAGAATAAAAAATGAAAGTTTTTTTTGTTTTGTTTTAATGACCTCATATCAAGGTAAAAAAAAAAAAAAAGAACCTGCTCATGATTAAGGAAACGAGATAAAGCCCAGATTCAATGTCCACATTATTGTGACTCTCATTAACAGCGAACTCACAGTCTATTAAAAAGTTAAACAAAAACTCTCCTTCGATTTTATGTGCAACAATGCTGTTTAACACTAAATTAAACCTTTTATAGTGTAACATTACAGACACCTTGTTTTAAAGGCAGAGCTACTGAAAAGCCAGCTACCTGGTGAGTGGAAACACAAGGGAGTGAGGGAAAAATAATCATCTCCATCCACTGATCATAAAATGCAAAAATTAAAGGTTTGCGCTTCCTTGAAAAGCTGAGTTTTTACTATGGAGTTGCATGTAACTAAAGTGATTTGAAATGAGAATCCAGACAAGTCGCGTTTACAAACCTGCTTTCCTGTGAAGCCTTGGCAGATGACCTTCGTGTTCTTGTTGATGTAGAGGTTCTTTCTGCTTCCTGTATAACAGTGTCTGACTCCACTCTGCTGCACTGTTGGATCAATACAGAAGAAAAGCAACACAGGGAGCAATCAGGTGAAAGACATCAATACACAAGCTGACATTATTCAACAAAGCTTTTCACAGCTGTGGTTGGAAAACATTCAGTTCAATAAAATAGAGTTTATCCAACATTCAGACAGTCCAACTCTTGTTTAACAATAAAATATTAAAGTTTTACTTCATTTCAAGGAGAATAATCAAACCCGAGTACAAACCAAAAAACTCTGCAGTGTTCCAACAAATATCACACTTGCTTTCATTAAGCAACACTACCAGCTTTCTGCAGACTTAATGGTGCTGATTTTCAGAAGCTATAATCAAAATCATCTTTAGTATTTAGAATTTAACATATTTACTGGGTTGCTTTTGCAGTGGAGCTCCTAACAAGTCAAAAATCTGTAGAGCATGAAATACTGATCTTATAAAGTATGTGTGTGCATGTATGTTCATGTAACAGGAGCTCAGTTTCACAACTGCTCCAAATCTTAAACACTGACCATTTAATTCTGAAGCAATGGGATCTTTTCACAACCGATGTGGGGTAGATCTAACCTCACAACCCTGCAGTCAACCACTTCAACTGATTTAACCATTTCCATGCATATAATGTAATGCTTTAATGAATGGAAGAAGCACAAGACTTGATAACATGTATGGACTCATAAAATGAAATGAGCAAAACAAAGTAAAATCAGTTAATCATGTTAGCTACTTATTGAGCAAACCCATTTGTCAGCATGAGCCTCTGAAATGTCATTGCAAGCTCTGGGAATGAGGGCTGGCCTTTGTTACCCCCTGCTTCCTGACATTTCATCAACTACTTTATTCAACAATATTGGAAAAAATAAAGATATTTTTTTGCAGCTTAAAAGTTTTCACTCTGACCAAACCACTCTATAAACTCAATGAGCCAAAACAAGGTAATGGTCAGTCCCAGTGTTTACAACAGATGGGTGGAACTAAATATACTTTTAAAAATGTTTAAAATTTTACATAGTTAAGTATTTGTGATTGCATTTGTGTGCAATACCACCTTTTCTTAGAGATTAGGTGTTAAGTAAAATATGTCAATCACCAAAATAGGAAGGACTCAGGTTCCTGCAAGCATAAAGTTAGATATCAATCTTTCTGTATCGATGCAGACATTTTCAAATGTCTCAAGTTATTTTCATTATACGGTCAATATGTCGTTTCCCCCACAATCAATATTTTTTCTTCTTTGCACTTGATATTTGTTCCTTTAACAAGTATTCTAATTCTTTGAACATTTTTATGTGATATCATTACCACCTTAAAGTTTGATGCAAATCTTTGGGATTTTATGTGACAGACCATCAAAGTAGTTCATGACTGACGTAAAATAAAAATTTAATTTATTATTTTAAACTTTTCAAATTGAAAAGTGTGGCATGCCTTTGCATTTAGTCCTGCTGACTCTCTTACCCCTAAATACAAAGTACATTAAATCATCTTAAGAAGTCGTAGCGCACAGATCAGAGATAACACTGTGGAGAAGTTTAAAACAAAGTTAGTTTATAATAAAGAACTAAGCTTTGAACGTCTCCTTAAACACTGTTTAATCTGTTATCTTCAAAGGTAAAAAGCATTGCACAACCCACCAAGACACATTCTTCATCCATTTAAAAATATTCAGATTCCATCCAATTTTATTCAACCAGATGAAGAATGTGTGAAAGTTTGCCTAAGTGAATGTGAAGTGCTTGGAGAGATGAGAACCAAAAAACGTGCACCTATACTTGTTGGGTGCAACAAATATTGACTCAGCATTGACAGAATACAAATATACAACGCTTTCGATTTATGCTTAAAAAGGCTTGCATAATTTTTTCTTGTACTCCACTATTAAGTCCTAATTTTGTACGATGTTAGATAAGTGCTCTATGGGTTCATTTGAGGTGACAAGCTGTGGAAAAACATGTAGGGTTATAAACAGTATTTTACAAAATGTATTTGTGAAGTCTGAGTGTATTGCAACGTTAATGGCCTGCAGCAGAGAAGAGCAGCAGCTGCTGCAGCTTAGTGGTTGAACTTTGCTCTGTTTTCCAAGTCTCATGCAGAACTGAACAATGTCACTGTGCAAAGTTCAAAGAGTTAATATTATAACTATGACTTTGACAAACACAGTATTGTATGTTGGTAATACTATCAAACTATATGCATCTGTTGAGCAAACCTTATGGCTAATATAAAGAGTTTCTATAATACAGCTGTAAACAGCTAAGTGTCTGGCTAAATTAGCCATTTCCACAAGAGTTGCTGTCGCAAAGCAGTTATGTCTGACTTTTCAGAACATTTCAGGTCAAATAGTGACAACATGGTTATAGAACTGGGTTTCTTAACTATAAATTGACCACTAAGCAAGTTGACTATCTGTCATGAGGGATTTCCCAGATTACTTCAGCGGCTGATGTGTCTGACTTTGAGGGCTCAGTGAAAGCTAACCCAGGTGTCAGTGTAGAGTTGTCCGTTAACCTCAGAAAAACACCAGCGCACATATTATGCGGTACTATAACAAAACTCCTAAACCTCTCAAGCGAGCAAACCCGCGCTTAAATAAAATACTTACAAAGCAGCCTGGCAAACAACCTGCTATGAGACATCTTCGGTCATTCAGCAATGACACCACAGGCTAAGGACTTTGTACGTAGAATTTAGCTGACTTCAAAAGATCCAGTGAAACTCAAGAGTGCCAATAAGCTCGGAAATAGATTTGTCTTAATCACAATAAGAAAAAAAATATTATTCATAAATAGCCAACATTTTATTTCTTTAAAAAAATTGTTTATTGGATATCGAAATGAACACAAGCATTATCTTTGTCATTTTTCCTACAGGCAAAACAGTTCGAGTCTTTCACTCAGGGTGCACTCTGGGAATTGAAGTTCGTGACAGAATATTAGCGAGAGAGAATTCCGCTTCAGCTCTAGAGGGCGTCTCGATTTCATAGACGACACTTAGTAAAAGTCACATGAATAACAGTGAAAACGGTGGCATTTTTTTGTGTGTGAATATCTTAGAAACGGATATTGGGGTGGTTATCTCTCCTTTCACTTAATTGTCTTTTCAGGTAAAATAAAAAAAAAAATTAAAATCAATTAATACACCGACGAAATCAACTTCAACTAAGATCACGTGTCACCTCTACGCAAATTATTTACTACTTCGAAGTAGTAAATAATATATTCTAAAGGTTTCATTTTTGACAATTATCTATACCGATAATGTTTATCTTAATATATATTTTCTAAATCTTTTTAGTCTCAAATTTTCTTATTACATGACTTACATAGTTCATTAGCTGTCCCAAGGGAGTAAAAGATTATCTCCAAATAACACATATATAAATATATGTGTTAATATATATTATACTGGCTAAACACATTGCAATGAAATAGTTTTTGTTTTTAGAACACTTTTCTGTTCATATTCAGTATTCACATATGCTACTATCGGTACTCTTTAGGCCCGAGCAACGGTTTTCATTCTTGTGTGTGACATTTACTTCAGTCCTTAGCTGTGTTTAATTGGGAACAACTCGTGTCACTTTGAAGGCTATGCACTATAACTGACAATCAACCATATAGCAAGCATGTTTATTTCTGCATACAAATAAAAAAACAAAACATAGCAGAAATAAAGGAATTACCACCTGCAACATTTAGGAGTAGATTTGCATGTGCTGCTTTGCTTTTCACAAGAAACTACCTGGCATAATTTGACTCAATCGTATGATAATTACGATTGAGTCAATTGTAATTAAATCAGTTTCGATTATGTCACTAAAACTAATAAAACTTCAAAATTCTATTTCATAGAATTAAATTTTTTTGACATTCTAGTTTTCTGTTGTGTTCTACGTTCATGTAAAAATTATTTTTAACCTACCCTTCCTCTTTTTGCTCAATTCAACTTACCCAATCACGAGCCACCAACTCCTCTGACGCTGATTGGCCGTCAACTAAGATCACGTGTCACCTCTACGCAAATCTCAAAACTCATTTACGCACAGTTTTGTTCGTTCTCTTGTTGTGGTCACTTAAGTTTACGTAGCGGCGTCGAGCTGCGCTCAGAAAACAGCGCAGTGACACAAACGATCCCCAGGAACTTCCCAAGTCAAACTCAAAACCCGGCCCTGCCGAGCAACTCAAGATGGTTTTAGAAACAATTTCAAAGATAATAAAAGTGCAGCTTCCAGCCTACTTGAAGAAGCTGCCGCTGCCGGAGACTATCGGAGGTTTCGCGAGGTTAACAGGTAATTTACGGCAGCCGCGGTGGTTGTAACGTGAGGATGAACTCGTGAATTGTTCGGGAACGATTCACACTCAACACTCAGCTCTGATCAGTAGCCTGCACGGGCATCACAACTTTACCAGCGCTTTGCTTACGCTGTGTCCAACAATGTGAGACCTTGAACAGCGCTTAGACAAATGCAGGAAGACGAGTGCATGATGTAGTTTATCTCACGTGTTACATAACTTTATCTCAGAGCTGAGGAACTTCAAGACAGCTTCTGTTGGTAACGATGAAAAACAAACAAATGATCTGCAACGTAAAGACTTTGCTGCCCCGTTTTGGGTCTTTTGGTTTAAATTTCACTTTTGGCTAGCAGCAGCAGTTTTTGGGCCCAATAAAAAGAATAGATTTGATATCCTGTAAGAACATGATGTCAGTGCAGGCTCGCAGGGTGTGCTGTCATGCATTATAAAATGAGGGAAAGACTTGACTATAAGTTTGGGATATGATCTTGCAAATTCATATCTGACTGACTGCCAACCTATGAAATTACACCAATGTATATTTCAATAAGTCCTTGTTTAAGCTATTTTGCATAACTTTTTACCTCGATTCTTGTTAAAAGTAGGGCTGAAATGAGGACATAACAGTGTGATCACGGTTAAATATTGAGAAATTTTTTTTTTGTCATCACCACAGTGTTTTTTTCATTATCACGACAATCTCCCCACCACGCTGTCTTATCTATTAAGACAGTTTATTTTGACAGAGGACAGTAAATTTGCAATAGCAATTGCAAATTTCTGTAGTGTGTTCTTTAAACTTTGTATACTAAAATTGAACTGGAACTTTATGCAATTGGTAAACCTTGAGTTTAATGTAAAAAACCCCACACATTATGATTTTAATAAGTCACAATAATGCTTGGAACTATCCATGACCTTCAGCATCTTGGATACAGTCATTTCAGTCAGGACTCAGTGGACTCTATCCAACAGGCTGAATATATGAATGGCATGCAAATCATGAGTTATTATAGACAGTGATGCCCTGGCCTGAACAATTTGTGGTGTTGAAAAATGCAAAAGACAGGACATCAAACATAATGGTTTGCTGATGCAGTTACCAGATATTTAATGAAAAAAAAGGATCTTTAGAACCAGGACTATCTGCAGCTTTTAGTCACATCTTCAAGTACTTATCTTCCAAGCATCTATTTAAATAAGTAGAAATGGTAACACAAGTAAAAAATAAGAACAAAAAATATAAAAAGCTTAAAAAAAGGGCATTCAGTTCTAATATTTTTGTTTAAGTACCAGCTGTTGTTCAGTGTAGCAAAGGGAAAAGTATGGTGGTCTCAAACTAACCCCCCAGTTTATCTGCTTAACTGGTTATTTGACCTAGAGGTCTTACATTTAAAGTCTTAGAAAACATTTATTCACCTTGTTTCCTGTTCCACAAGTACTTAACTGTTTTTACTTATAATCTAAGATCCATAGAAGCTGAAACTCTAATACTTTAATGCATCACATAGATGGATTGGTGAAAAAAAAAATCTTGAAATGGCCTCTGTTTGAATGCTAACACATCATATTCCCCTCTCTCTGCGCCAAACCTCAATGCTGTAATAGAACCTGGAGAAGCATTGTTTTTGCAGATACATTTGGAGATCTTCCAGGACAAAGCTACACACTCAAATGTTTCAGATTGAGCAAGTTTTAATGTCAGACAGACATTACTTGTGTATATACAAAAATCAGATTTTAAATGCTGATTTAATCATTAAGGGGAAAAATATAGCTAAGCAAAGTGTTAGGGAAAAAAAGTAATGGCATGTTCTTTGAAAATGACACATTATTTCCTGATCTAAATAAATTCCAGAACAGATGAGAAACAAAGTCATTGATATGCATCACTTAGGAGAGGGTTATAAAACCACTCAGTGAGCCTCAGAAAGAGTGATTATTCCGATGTAACTGTGGTGAACCTTCCCAGAAGTGGCTGGCCAAACCAAACTCCTTCAAGTCCTTTTTGACGACTCATCCAAGAGATGAGATCCCAGAATGATGTCTGAACACTGCAGACCTCATTTGCTTCAGTCAAGGTCAGTGTTCAGGATTCAGCAAAAAGAAAGAGACGAGGAGAGCTTCAGGGCCTAACTTGCTGTCAAACTGCCATTGGGCAGCTCTGGCTGCAATAAAGCCATCAGTATGTGAGTGTGTGCATAAAAGGATGAATGACTACATCTAAATAAATCAGGATACTGCATGAAGTGCAATATTTCTTGCCAGCTATCTCAGAAAGAAAAACAGCTATTTTATAGCGATTAATTACACATAATGTAAAATATTTTTACGTTATGCATCATCTTAAACAATTGTTTCGTACTCAAATGCGGATAAGTTAAAAATAATTCTACAGAGAGACTGAACCACTATCCTACACAGAAATGTAAAGACTCACAAACGATTGTAGTTGTTGCCCCTAAAAGTGGCGCAAGCAGATGCTATTAGGGGGCAACTGAATTATTATTGGGTAAGGCTGGTTTACATGTGTCTCCATTAATACTTGCAAAATGATCTGAGCCATTTGGTTTTAAAAAAAAAAAGTATCTACCTCAATATCAAGAGGTAGATACTTTTTTTTACAGCTCTGTATAAAGTGCACAGAGGCATAAAAGCTGGCTTTAGTATACATTCCAGTTGAGCCCCAGTCAGTTTCTTATGTATGTCCACAGTGTCTGAGTGGCTCCGGTTGCTGCCTCTTCTTGGGATTTTGGCCCTGCTGGGCTACCTGACCATTCGTCCGTTCCTGCCCAAGAAAAAGAAGCAGAGAGACAGCCTGATCAACCTGAAGATACAGAAAGAGAACCCCAAAGTGGTCAACGAGATAGACATTGAGGACCTGAACAGCGCAAATGTGTGTTACTGTCGATGCTGGCGTTCCAAAACTGTGAGTTGACGTCTTTCTTGGCTTTGACCGTGGAATCCTATAAAAGCTAACTTGCAGTCACAAGTGAGCCTGTGTTTTGTTGTGCATTCTGAAGTAATGAAAGTTAAACAGCTGTTATTTTGCCATATTAAAAATATATAGTATCATTAGGGATTTATGCAACTTTCTGATTCACTATTTCTTATTTCCTGTTTTTAGTTTCCTGTTTGTGACAAGTCACACTTAAAGCACAACGAACTAACTGGGGACAACGTGGGACCGCTCATCCTCAAAAAGAAGATACTATAATTGACCACAGAAAGAAGTGTACATCTGACTAGTCTGTACTTCATCTTTTCTTGGTATTTTGTTTTCCTTATGAAATGCAGTCCATTGAATTTTTGTAGTTGGGATAGTTTTGTGGGTTTTTACTTTTTTTAGTTAAGCTCTCATTGGTTTTCTAATTTACAGAAATAGTTGTTTATATATGA